AACCTCAAGACTTCCTTAATATTAGATTTCGTGCACCAGCTGTTATTTACAAATATACACAGACCGCCACCCTTTGTCTTACCGGAGGCAGCTGTTCTATCTTGCTGATGCACCGAAAACCCCGCCAGCTGTATGTTATCCATGTCATCGTTCATCCGCAACTCGCTGAAACATAAGCTATTAGTTATTAATGTCCCATTGGTAGGATGTTCTTGATCGGAGCTCATCCATTTTATTATCCAATGATTGAACGATGGCTAATAGGACTGATGGTAGAGGCAGATTACCCACTCGCCATTGGATCCTTACAAGGCACCCCGACCTACGTCCCCAATATCTCTGTCTCTTCTTCATGCGAATGACGGGGATTTGGGCCTTGTCGGGTGTCTGAAGTAAATCCTTCGTGTCCGACTCGTTAAAGAAAAAACCTTCGTCCAGCACAAGGTGAGTAATCGCTTTCCTGATATCCAGAAGCTTTTTTCGGTCATAAGAGACAGTGGCAGAAACATTATGTACAAAATAAGTTACAAATAATGCGAAAAAACACACACAATAGCACAATTGGTTAGGAGCCCGTAAAACGGCAGCCATCTCCTCCGGCGCCATTATGAATTGTCTTTAATCTACATGAGTTTCATTTTGGGTCGCCATGGTTTTCATTTTCTCACACTGGTATCAATTGAACTTTTCTTATTGCAGTGTGAGCAAAGTATCAATCATTACATTTGAAACAGAATAAGTTGATTTTCATAAACCATGGCTGCCAGTTAACATCTGCTTACACATTAAATCAGTATTGAATAGGCAATGTAAAATGACATATATAGAAATATATAAAGCTCTTTTAATAGATCTGCCTGTATGTGAGTATTGTCAGTGTCAGGAAGCATCAACTGGTATGACAATGTTCCTGTGGAGGTAATTTACTCAGTAAACCTTGTTTATTGTAATTGGGAGCTGTGATCTGCTATGTACACAGGGTCTTTTGTCCTGGACATACAGTATATCTTGGTTTTATATACGTGGGTGATATTAATGGCAGCAGCGAGGTTGCGATGGCTGGAGAGCATCTTTGCACGTTTCAGTAAAAGATTGATGTGTGCTTGCCTGTGGCTTATCAGCTCCAATTGTTTTCCTCAGGTTGTTTTTTTCCTGTTGATTTAACATACGATAGATTGTGTTTTGTAAGTCCCAGTGTCTAGAGGCACAGACTGATTTTTCAGCAGGCATACAAATTACATGGCAAAGAATAGGACATTTCAAATAGACTGTCTTCTCTGTGATGTTAAGGATTTTGTATTAATATGATGACATCAGCTGTCCAGGCTCTGTCGCAACCAGCCGCGACCGGGAGACCCATGGGCGGCGCACAATTGGTCCAGCGTCGTCCAAGGTAGGGGAGGGTTTGGCCGGCAGGGATGTGGGTTCGTTTCCCACGGGGGGCCAGTATGAAAAAATAAAAATAAAAAAAATAAACATGTAAGTCGCTCTGGATAGGAGCGTCTGCTAAATGACTAAAATGTAAATGTAAATGTCTTCACAGGATACATTTGAATTTTTGATTATGGGTTAAGCTCTGACATCTGTGATTGCATCTCTTATTCATACATTCATAATGTGGCTATGTCACATTTATGATATGCTTATCCTTATAGAGGTGTAATGTATGCTTTATGAACATACTGTAGGGCCTACAGCTAATGTAAATCATTACCCAGTTTATTCTACCATCCCAAATGAATAAACAAAATCCACACAAACTTGCCTGGGAAAATTGGCACTGTGTAGGACTGGGGGTTGGATTGATCTACACTGGGCTGAAACGATGTGTTGTGAGGCGTAGGTGTGTGCTGTGGTGGTTGTATATTTTGGAAGCGATGCAGTGTCCTTCACTCTCACATTGTCACACTGACTTTGAACAAAACTGGATGAAAACAAAGACATGTCAGGTTCAATATTTGGCAACAATAAAGCAAGGGCATTATGTGAGAGGACATGTTTAAAAAGAAGGGGCTATAGAAAGTTAGGCCAATCTTTGTGATAACATAAATATACACTGAGTGTACAAAACATTAAGAACACCTTCCTAACATTGAGTTGCACCCGCCCCCCATTCTTGATACTCACAGGATACCCACCTACTACCATACCCCGTTCAAAGGCACTTAAATATTTTGCTAAAATGTGTTATTTTGTACTAATCAATTTTGTCTTAAGATTCCCCTGAAGGCACTCAAATCAGTCTGGATAGTACTGATGGCTCCTCTCATCAATGGATGTTGTGTTGCTCAGGGGCACAACAGTAGTTGTTTATGCATAGCTTGGAATTTGAATCTGCATCCTCTAGTTACCACCTCTGCATTTGGCAAACAACTGGACCACAACATTGCCTGTCTACTGAGTCTCACTTCACCGTAGATTGCAGATTATATGTTCAGAATTATTCTGAATAGTAACATAGTTTCTAAAATACAACAAGGAAGTATTTTTGCCTGCGCTGGCACTGCAGACAGCTATATCGGTCAGCTAATACAGGATAAAAATGTAATGAAAATTTTTTTTAAAGTACACCCCCCTACTTCCTGCGGCTATGCATACCAATACATTTAGTAGAAAGAAAACAAATCTATCTACCCTACCATAAAAAAAAACCAGCAGAAAAACAACACAACAGCACATCAATCAGCAACATTTATTGTTGTTAGGGAAACAATACAGAACATTATATGCCGGAGCAGAATTGTACTTTCTGAAAAGGTACAGACGCTGATGCAGCACTTTTTTTAATTGTCTGAAAGGTTATCAATTGTCGCTATCGACCCGTTACTGTAGTGGCGTCCTATGTATGAAAAGGGTATTACTCTAAAACGTTAGTGCATGCCGTTATTTTTTGTCTTAAACCACTGAACTCCAAAGGGGAATCAGATTGTGAATGTACAGAGATTGTAGTAGTGTATTCATGTGTATAATAATACATAATATGCCATTTAGCAGACGCTTTTATCCAAAGCGACTTACAGTCATGCGTGCATACATTTTTTGTGTATGGGTGGTCCCGGGGATCGAACCCACTACCCTGGCGTTATAAGCGCCGTGCTCTACCAGCTGAGCTACAGAGGCACTGAACATTTCATGTTTTACATTTCGGAGTGGCTGCTGTTCCGGATTTTCTGGAAACCCGATTTGCCGTGGCTAAAGATACAGAGATTTGTATGTGCAGGATTTTTTTTCCGCGTAGCTGCTGCTCACTCTGCTGTCTAAGTAGATGCTGCTCAGTGCTCCGCTGCAGCTTTCCCCTCCTTGATCAGCGATGAAAGCCTTTGGTGTGGGCTAAGCAGCATAATATCGATTTCAAGCTATTTTGTCTTGAGGGGAGTTAGGCTACATGTAGCTATTTACATGTTGTACACAAAAGACATGATCAACATGTTCGTACAAACTCCCATGCAGCTATCTAGACAGTATATCAAACACAAGCAAAACACAGACACGCAGTCTACGGTAATTAGCGATGTAATGTTATTTTTTAATCATCATTGCAAACATTGGCTAAGCAGGAGGTAGACAGGCAATCAAAGTAGTAGTGTTCTTTTTCAACACCTCTGGCTAGGGGCTACGATATGGCAGCAACTACAAAGATTAGCCTACATCATCACACAAAACGTAGATTGTTTTTGCTCCAATGCAATGTGTAGGGACTGCGTCCTTCTTGTGCAACTGCAATATCCGTTACAACAAACAGAGAAGGTTGTTGCCTTGAATGTTTATTCAACTCGCCACAGGGTTTTTAATTCAGTTGTTCAGAAATATGAGACAGAGACATAGGCTACATCATCATGTTTCAGAAGAGGCAAAGTAAAGAGAGAAACGTGAAGGGAGATGAAGTGTGAGCAGCAGCTGCGTATATATATATCTTTCCGTAAAATAACACATGCGTAGAACGTGATCCAGATCTGTAGTTTTGAGAAAGAGGTTTCCAGAGGGGCGGGGTGAGCATGGGCGAAAACTCCTTATTCATAGCCATGCCTTTAGATTTAGGTAGGAAAACTAACATAAGTCAAACAATCAATATTCAGGTAAACAACAACATGGATTTATTTCCTAATGACATGAGCACCATCTTATTATGAACATGTGTATAGTACACTTCATCTTAAAAGTTGTAAGAAGGTTTTTAATTATTTGTCACTGCACATTTATTTGACCTTCTATCATGGAAGTACCTGTATGCATTCAAAATAATATATTTCAATGTACCACAAACAATAGGCTACAGTATAAAATAAATTGGTCAATAAAAAACAAAAAAGGTTGACCTTAATAATTTCATGGTTATGTTATCACTACAGTTAAAATAACATGTTATAAATTACAAAAGGGTTAAACTATACAATTGGGCAGTGTTCTGTGTTCTGTGAGTGTTCAGCACAATAGTTATTGCATTGAAGAGGATGAAGAATTCAAAGATGATTAAATGGCAGACTGATAAGCCTACTAGAGTCCGACTGAGAACTTGGCTAGGACAATCCCTCTACTCCCTCCATATTGTAAGTGTCATAATAGTTATCTATATAAGGTCAGGACCTCTGTTTAACATCTCATCCAAAAGATGGACCCTTGTCTTGACTACACAATAACCCTTTTACCATACTAGGGCATTAGGATCTAATTGGACCAGAAGAAAGAGTGCTCCTTACGGGACCACCACACCACAACTATATGCCTACAATATTTTCCAGCTATGTAGGTTGAAAATACCATTTGCCATAATTCATATTCCCTAATCCCTACCTCTAATTGAAAGCTTGGATGTTACACTCTACCTTTCTAAAGTCTATTGTTTATTTGTTTCAATAAATGTTAACTAACAGCCATTTTCCTTATGCATCCAGCCCTAATTCGTTTGGTAATGTATGTGACATCAAGATGCTTCCTTCACATGATTTAGTTCAGCTTAATAAGGATTTTAGAAAGGCTGTCAACAGGTATTGTAATGGACGTCAGAAGACAGAGGTCAATGCCAGGTGGATGGACTCAGCTACATAGTCTAGGTTACGGCTGTTGATAGCACTCACATTCAGACAGCCATTGGGATGCAGGTAGATATGACTCCTCTTTTTCAGGAATTCCACTTGTTGGACTAAAGGAGACAGGTGAAGAGATCATAATCAAAGATTAAGGAAAGGACATTCAACATGGAACATAGCACTTACGTAAATTACTGGTACCTAGGTGTACAATAAACAGGATAGAGGTCATGGACATATACAGTATACAGTAAAAGCCATTTAGCAGAAGCTTTTACGAAGCACGACTCAGCTTGGCTAAAAGGGGTAGAATTCAGTTCAAGAAAACTGTACAACATCATTGCTAATGATATAAAGAATATATTTGAGAATGAAGTGTGAGATTGTGAGATAAAATTACTGACACCAAAAGCTAGCTAGATAATGCTAGATAATGCAAAGAAACAAAAGCAACCTGTCTTGATGTTTTCAAACGCTCTTACACTGAAAATGTAAGGTCTAGGAAGTTGCAATGCATAAATAGTCTACGTTGTTTGTGGAAACCATTTTTAAAATGCTGATATATGACTTGATTCAATCTGTATCCCTGAAGTTCAGTGCTATAGTTCCGCGTTCACAGACTACATTCACAGTAAACGCTGTATATGCCAGCTCAATGGAAATTACCTTTACATTTTAAGTGTGCTATAGAGCTGAACTTCAGCGACACGGATTGAATCAAGCCCATAGACGGGTACAGTGTCCTACCACTGTTTGAATTGTTTGAAAGATGACAAATCCTGAACTTAACTAAAGCCCTGTTTCCATTGGCACTTTAAAGTCAACCCAAGTTGGACTGGCCTTGGTGAGCTAGCTCAAATTGCGTTTCCACTGCCTCCAGAAATTAGAAATTATGTAATGTTGTTAGGTAGCCAATATGTGACTGCAGCTGGCTTCGCTAATGTTGCTAGCTAGTTAGCAAGATGTTGAAGAATTTCATTCACCCTCACCATGCTGTAGCTAACATTATCCCATATTCCTGCCAGTGCCATCCAGACACAGAGCCATGTATTTAACTTGCTGACATTAGCTAGCAAGCTAACTAAACGGTTAGTGTCATCGCTAGCATAACAGGCTAGCAAGATAGTTTAATTCCTACCTTGATTGCCATGGCATTGGCTATTAGCTAGCTAGCTAACCAAGCAAACCAGCAAGCTATCTAGCTTTCAATACGACCTGGCCAGCTAAAATTCCTGCTAGCTCACGTTAGCTGCTAGCTAGCTAGCTTGTTTCAACTCTGATTTGCTAGCTAACGTTAGGCACCTAGCATTTGAGGGCTGACTATTCTCATAAAAGTTTATTGTTTAGTGAAAAAATGAATGAAGGATCCAACTATGGTGGTAATTCGTGTCATGTCTGAGTAGGGTTGCCAGGTCTAGTTAACATTTTCAGAACAACGACCACTCAAAACCCGCCCAAAAGGCCTGAAAACTAGCCCAGATTATTTTTTTCACAGCAAGAGAGGAGTTGCCATATTTAAACAACTAAACCTTTTTCCATAACGTTATTGAGCCAATTAAGAAGGAATATCATAGTAACCTGTAATGACGTTACAGCTAGTTATAGCCAGTTTGCTCTGTTCTGTGAAGGGAGTAGTACAAAGCGTTGTACGAGATCTTCAGTTTCTTGGCAATCAGAACAAGAATAGACTGACGAGTTTCAGAAGAAAGTTCTTTGTTTCTGGCCATTTTGAGCCTGTAATCGAACCCACAATTGCTGATGCTCCAGCTGAAGGCCAGTTTTATTGCTTCTTTAATCAGCACAACAGTTTTCAGCTGTGCTAACATAATTGCAAAAGGTTTTTCTAATGATCAATTAGCCTTTTAAAATGATAAACTTGGATTAGCAAACACAACGTGCCATTGGAACACAGGACTGATGGATGCTGATAATGGGCCTCTGTCCGCCTATGTAGATATTCCATAAAAAATCAGCCATTTCGAGCTACAATAGCCATTTACAACATTAACAATATCTACACTGTATTTCTGATCAATTTGATGTTATTTTAATGGACAAAAAAATTGCTTTTCTTTCGAAAACAAGGGCATTTCTAAGTGACCCCAAACTTTTGAACGGTAGTGTATATATACTGAATATGCTTGTCAATAACAGCCAGTGTTTATTATTATTATTATTATTATTTTAACCTGTAGCCTAATCTGACTACTGTTACCGTCAATCTAATGCGTTCTAACAACTGATTGGCAATTGCGATAGAGCTTTGATAACTTCCAATTTAATTAATTAAACATGTGCATTAATAATTGCGTAATAACATATGGCTACAACAACAATGAACTGAAGTTATAGGCTATTTATTAAATTGGTTTGCCAGCTCCAGGTAGGCTACACAAGTGGCACATTGATTTGCAATGACTCCAGTGATATCGTCATTTCAACATATTTATTGTATCAAATGGTAGTCTACAATGTCATGTACATTAATAGGCTACTTGATATTTTTTATTTTGATTTATTTAACCTTTATTTAACCAGGTAGGCCAGTTGAGAACAAGTTCTCATTTACAACTGCGACCTGGCCAAGATAAAGCAAAGCAGTGCGCTAAAAACAACAACAACACAGAGTTACATATGGGATAAACAAAAACGTACAGTCAATAACACAATAGAAAAATATAAAATCTATATACAGTGTGTGCAAATCTAGTAAGTTATGGAGGTAAGGCAATAAATTGGCCATAGTGCAAAATAATTACAATTTAGTATTAACACTGGAGTGATAGATGTGCAGAAGATGATGTGCAAATAGAGATACTGGGGTGCAAATGAGCAAAATAAATAACAATATGGGGATGAGGTAGTTGGGTGGGCTATTTACAGATGGGCTGTGTACAGGTGCAGTGATCGGTAAGCTGCTCTGACAACTGATGCTTAAAGTTACCTATTCTCAAACTTTAAATGGGTAAGAAGCCGGGCATGGAATGCGAGCCAACAGAGGCAAATGTATCATTGTCCACATTTAATGTCAGTTTCATGGAGGACTTTTCCCCATAAAAAGAACCACGCGAGGGAGTTCCATAACTTCCATTTCAAATTTCCACTCCGGCAGCCCCCAAGAACCAAGAACTGAACATGCATAAAACACTTCGCTTGATACCGTTTTCTTTGGGCAAAATCAACATTAGAATGCAGTTTAAACCACCTCCTAGCAAATGTACAGTGAGGGAAAAAAGTATTTGATCCCCTGCTGATTTTGTACGTGTGCCCACTGACAAAGAAATGATCAGTCTATAATTTTAATGGTAGGTTTATTTGAACAGTGAGAGACAGAATAACAACAAAAAAATCCAGAAAAACGCATGTCAAAAAATGTTATAAATTGATTTGCATTTTAATGAGGGAAATAAGTATTTGACCCCTTCTCAATCAGAAAGATTTCTGGCTCCCAGGTGTCTTTTATACAGGTAACGAGCTGAGATTAGGAGCACACTCTTAAAGGGAGTGCTCCTAATCTCAGCTTGTTACCTGTATAAAAGACACCTGTCCACAGAAGCAATCAATCAATCAGATTCCAAACTCTCCACCATGGCCAAGACCAAAGAGCTCTCCAAGGACGTCAGGGACAAGATTGTAGACCTACACAAGGCTGGAATGGGCTACAAGACCATCGCCAAGCAGCTTGGTGAGAAGGTGACAACAGTTGGTGCGATTATTCGCAAATGGAAGAAACACAAAAGAACTTTCAATCTCCCTCGGCCTGGGGCTCCATGCAATATCTCACCTCGTGGAGTTGCAATGATCATGAGAACGGTGAGGAATCAGCCCAGAACTACACGGGAGGATCTTGTCAATGATCTCAAGGCAGCTGGGACTATAGTCACCAAGAAAACAATTGGTAACACACTACACCGTGAAGGACTGAAATCCTGCAGCACCCGCAAGGTCCCCCTGCTCAAGAAAGCACATATACATGCCCGTCTGAAGTTTGCCAATGAACATCTGAATGATTCAGAGGAGAACTGGGTGAAAGTGTTGTGGTCAGATGAGACCAAAATGGAGCTCTTTGGCATCAACTCAACTCGCCGTGTTTAGAGGAGGAGGAATGCTGCCTATGACCCCAAGAACACCATCCCCACCGTCAAACATGGAGGTGGAAACATTATGCTTTGGGGGTGTTTTTCTGCTAAGGGGACAGGACAACTTCACTGCATCAAAGGGACGATGGACGGGGCCATGTACCGTAAAATCTTGGGTGAGAACCTCCTTCCCTCAGCCAGGGCATTGAAAATGGGTCGTGGATGGGTATTCCAGCATGACAATGACCCAAAACACACGGCCAAGGCAACAAAGGAGTGGCTCAAGAAGAAGCACATTAAGGTCCTGGAGTGGCCTAGCAAGTCTCCAGACCCTTAATCCCATAGAAAATCTGTGGAGGGAGCTGAAGGTTTGAGTTGCCAAACGTCAGGCTTGAAACCTTAATGACTTGGAGAAGCTCTGCAAAGAGGAGTGGGACAAAATCCCTCCTGAGATGTGTGCAAACCTGGTGGCCAACTACAAGAAACGTCTGACCTCTGTGATTGCCAACAAGGGTTTTGCCACTAAGTAATAAGTCATGTTTTGCAGAGGGGTCAAATACTTATTTCCCACATTAAAATGCAAATCAATTTATAACATTTTTGACATGCGTTTTTCTGGATTTTTTTGTTGTTTTCTGTCTCTCACTGTTCAAATAAACCTACCATTACAATTATAGACTGATCATGTCTTTGTCAGTGGGCAAACGTACAAAATCAGCAGGGGATCAAATACTTTTTTCCCTCACTGTATGTAGTGTGCTCTAGTGTGCCCAAAGTCGTTTTCCATTGCTTTGTCCCCATTATTTCTTGATGTGCATCAGTTCTAGCTTATTAATGTTTTACGAAAAAGGGTTGGAAATAGGTGTCTCCATAATGACAATCTAAATAGCCTACCTACAACTGGTAAAAAGTTGTCACAACGTGCGCGTGCTGCTCCCTCTCCTCTCGCTCACTCAACACACACACACACACACACACACCACTCACTCAGCAACAGCAACAGCCTGCCTCACTGCCTGACAGTCAGCAACAGGTCACAGTGAAATCTATATATTTTTAAGAGAAATGACATGGCGGCCGCAGTGCAATTTAGGAATAGCCCAAATACCCGCAACCCGCGACCAATACATTTTTACCCCACGACATCATTTTCAAAGTAGCCCAATTGCAACAAAAAAACGCGAACATGGCAACACTGTGTGTCAGCATCCTGCAGTGATCAGCTTGGTGGTTGCATAGTAATGGCATCACCAGCCCCAATTCTAATCGAGCTGGTACCAGTTGTGAAACTGGGCTGCGCTGGCCCGGGTTTCCCTCGACCCAGCTCGAATCTGAGAATTCCATTCGAGCCAGGTCGAATTTGGCCCAAATTTTAAGTGCCAGTGGAAACGGGGCTTAAGATGGTTTGCTCACCATTCAGCCCAGTGCAACAGTACAGTCCACCTTGCTGGATCAGGTGATCCCAGCTGCCAGGACATCCAAGAAGCCTTAGCTTCTCTCTCAACCTCTCTCTGACCAGCATGCCCCTCTCCACCATACTCTTCAATCCTTCCTGCCTGGGACAAGGATTTACACAGAGGTCTATTTAATTTATCATGAAGCATTGGTCCCACGTACTGTAACGAGACTTTGTATTCTCGCATTTTATACTGGAGAAGCCTTGCAGACAATGCTATTGAAGCATAGACTATCCATAATAACTTACCACTCCACATGGTGGGCAGGGTTACTGAGCACAGTGGCAACCACACGAGCTCCTCCGACAGATGGCCGGGACCACAGAGCCCTGACCAGCTTCTCGGTCTGGGACTGAACAGCTAGCAGTGTGGAGCTCTGCTTTAGGACACATAAGAGGTGTCCAACCCGCTCGCCTGCAGTAAGGACAAAATAAGAAAATGTATTTCCTTCCAGAGATTTACTGTCAGTCTATGTATGTCCTGAGGATCTTACAATCGTCACATTCGATGAAAGCAAGAGACATCAGTTGTTAATACACTAAGAGGCAAGTGAACCCTTGAAGTGGCTCACCGTAAAGCCCAAAGCTGTGGGAGAAGGACTGGGCACACAGAAGCTCCATCCCCAGAGAGGCACACAGACGCACTGGCCAGGCGTCTTGTTCAAGGTCCCCATGGCATAGGCCCTGTGCAGGCAGCAGGAAGAAAGGGAAAAACCTACACCTCTGGGAGTATAGAAGAGAGAAAGATGCAGAGAGAAGAATAGAGAGAGAGAGCATGAGGATACTGAAGAGGACTACTATAAGAAGTGTTTATACTGTAGAAATGCTACTCCCTGGGATATACTGATGCCAGGACCTCCAAAGAAAGAAAACAACATTGATAACTGACTTTGCTGATAACTTCTTTATTGAGGAAAACATTTACTTACTACAACTGTAATATGTGGTTGTCTCACCTACCTATCTTAAGATGAATACATGAACTGTAAGTCACTCTGGATAAGAGCGTCTGCTAAATGACTAAAATGTTGAATGTATAACATCCATTACATTACTAAAGACTGTAAAAACAGTTGGGTTATGGAGCAGTACCACCATAAACTGTGTGAGGAGTCTCCAGTGCTTCTGGGAGAGGTCTGAACCAGTAGGGCAGTGAGCAGAAGCAGACAGAACAATGACACTCTGCTCTGGAGCCATCTCCAGATCCTCCATCATTTTCTGCACACACACACCCCTCTGCTCTGTATCCCAATACCGATACCGACGGACATCCTGGATCCCTGCTGCCTCAAAGATACCAGCCAAGGATTCTGCAGAAAGGAACATGATCACTAGAGCTTCAGCACCAATATCATCAGCAATACCAATTCTATATTGCTCTACCCTTGGGATTGTGCTTTTTACTATGTGCATGCTTATTTTGTGATAATAGTTTGGTAAGCCGCTACTTACCATCACAGGGGGAGGAGAGATAGATTGGCCCACCCCAGACACCGCTCACATTGTACCAGTGCTTCAAGAGCTCAGCCCCCAGACGAACAGCCCCAGTACAGCCCACAGTCTGCACACCCAACACCTACAGTATAATGAGCACAGGGGAGGGGGGTAAAATCAATACAGTCAGTCATAATGCATTATCCGATGCCACTTACAAGCTGATGTTGATTGATTACATAAAAACTAGTGTGTGGATAAGGAAGGGGTGGCCAAAGTGTAATTACATAGGTTATGCTGCCGTTGAGCTTGTGAAAGGCCTATCTTTGTGTCCAGATGGCTGTTCTTTACTGATGGCTTGGTGCAGTGCTTGTTTAAAGACAGTTTAATAACCTTGAGTTACAAATCAGCAAGCCACCTACTGTATGAGAAAACTGTGAGGATCACACTTGAGGTCAAGTTGATCCATGGAACATTTACAGTAGGCATCCAACATTACCCTGTTCTCCACGATGGCATGGCAGTCCCTGCCCAAAACCAATTCTGTTGCTCTCCTGGTGAATTCTGGAAGGCCAAAGGATGATGGATACTCTGGACAGAGAGTGGGGTCTGTGCCGATCTGTTGCATTATTTTCCCAATGAGCGGGCGCACAGAGGTCTGACCTTCCTTGTTGAGATACTCTGAGGTCCCAAAAAATTGTTATGCAGTAAATATTTTAATGTTTAGGTTAGAATAAGCTGTACTATACTAGCCTAAAATAGTAACTTCACATGGAAGCTTAACTAAATAATTATAAAATATATATGATTTGATCAATAGTGATATTCTGCCATTTAGTCTAGTTGAAAATGATTCATTGGCAAACTCAGTCAGTGGTTCTTACTCAAAACACAAGTTCCAAACACTAGTGTCAGTGACAACAAACGCTAATGAGATGCATAGAAGTCAGCCACCTGAAAACACGAGCTAACTCACCTCTTCCCGCCAAGTACACTTTGCTGAGATGAGTGTCTTTCTTGAAGTCAGCCAATAGCTTGGTTTCAGGATTCGGTGCGGCAGTTGGAGTGTCGACGAATATGGAGAGATGAGTTATATCCCGGGCTTGAACATTTTCAGTGGAACCCGCTCCACCATCAGTATTACAGGTTTGCCTCATCTTTTTATTTTCAGCATCCTGTTCTGTCAGCACTCTGCAAGCCCCCAAGCCTTTGTTTATGGTTGTTGCTTAGCTACACAACATGCAACGTAGATACTGTATCTTGGCAACGTCTGTGATGGATGGCTTCTTCCATTCTCTTATAAATGTAAACGGTTTCCACTAGTTACCACAGCCATAAAGTCAACATTGGATATCGTACAATTTTTTTTTTTTTTTTTATGTTGCTTGTTGGTCTTAATTTAAGGTGAGGGTTAGGCATAAGGTTAGCAGTATGGATAAGGTTAGGGTTAAGTTTAAAATCACATTTTAAGAAGATACATTTTTAGAAATAGGCTGGTTTTAGGACTTAGTGGTTGTGGTAACTAGTAACGATCCTTTCGCTCTCTATTTCAGGCAGTCATTAACCTCTGCGCCGAGTAGGCTTCGCATCCACACTGAGCTGCAATTTTCCTAGGTTAAAACAATTACGTAATCTTCAATTTTGCAATTTTCCAGGAAGCGTACAACCACAGGTACAATTGTGGCGTTTGCTTTCCTTTAATGAAAGTATGTCCTTTTCACTTTTTGGCAATATAATATCGTAAAAATGTAGGCCTATCGAAACAAAAATTAGCTTTTTTAAACATGGCGCCCTGCTCCTGTTACTCAAAACCAACTGTAGAAACCCACAGAAGAGACAATTGAAAAATATGAATTAGGTTAAACGGAACCAAAAAAATATGCCACCCATGTCAACAGGCTATACACTATTTTGAATGGTTTTAAATGCTGCTTTTAAAAGGAAAATGTTTACTCCATGTTCTAAGAACTCCGTGCTCCTGATTGAACATTTGAACCATTCAAACGAAATTGGCCCTTTGTAAAGTAAGGCATAATCAACCATTATACTCAAGGCCCTTTACCCAAAGCACTCGGAGTCAGACTGCGTTGATGATGCCGACACAGAAGTGTTCCTATTGAATCCCAGTATAGTAGCAAGTGTAGACAGAGGTTGCTGATTGAAGGACCCTTTTATGATAATTTGCATGTTAGAGGGTCGAGACTTTTCAGAACTTTACAGATATAAATGTAACATATAGAGCTACTGTCCCTTCTCACGTTTAATGCATTACATTTCGCATTGAACAAGTGTGAACTTGGTGCCCATCATTACAGAGCAAATAAAAGCTCACATTTGTGGTCACTTACAACATTTGAGGCAGATTGTTCAGACTCAGCTGTACACTAGGTGGCACTGCATGTTTAAGTAAATTGTGTTCTCTCCATTTGCAGTAGGTATACTTGATCCCCTGATTCTTGTTATAACCCTTCTTCACAGAATATAACACGTTGGTACCCTTTTGATCTTGGTGGCCAGTTTGAATGATGAAACTCATGTTTGTTCTCTCTTAACAATTGACCTAATTTAATCTTCTTTTGATGTCAATAGATTCACAAGATCCAATAGATTCACAAGAACCTCATTGATCATCTAGTATGCATGCATCACAGTTGTAGTTATGAGATGGCCTCTTGAATACTCCCCCTGACCTACTGTATGACTGCACTTCACTGTGTGAATACATTCTTGTTGGTTGCTGGTTCTAATCCCCGAGCCGACTAGGTGAAAAATCTGTCGATGTGCCCTTGAGCAAGGCACTTAACCCTAATTGCTCCTGTAAGTCGCTCTGGATAAGAGCGTCTGCTAAATGACTAAAATGTAAATGTAAATGTAATTGTTCTACATACTATTTAGGTTCGATTCCCACGGGCGGCCAGTATGAAAAATGTATGCACTCACTAACTGTAAGTCGCTCTGGATAAGAGCGTCTGCTAAATGACTAAAATGTCAATGTAAGTGGAAAGGTAATTACCAGTTGTGAAGTCATAAATACCAGGCTAATGGCCAACCATCTGTGTCAACCATAAATTAAAAGTGCAGAGTTAAAGATACATATAAAATAAAAATAGAAATAGTGACACAAGGAATAAATACACAGATAACAATAAGGAGTAAAAATAGCATGGCTACAGTATGTACAGTAGGTAGGGGTAAAGTGACTAGGCAACAGGATAGATAATACACAGTAGCAGCAGCATACGTGGTGTGAGAGTGTTTGTGTGTGTGTATGAATATGTGTGTGGCGTCAGTATGCATGTGTGTGCATGTTATGTGTGTATGGGCGTATGTAGTGTATGTGTGTGGTGGGGTGTCAGTGTGAGTTTGTGTGGGTAGAGTCCAGTGTGTGTGCATAGAGTCAGTGCAAGAGAGTTGTTGCAAAAAAGGGTTAATGCAGGTAGTCTGGGTAGCCATTTGATTAGCTAATTAGCAATCTTGTTTAGCAGTCTAATGACTTGGGAGTAGAAGCTGTTCAGGGCCCTGTTGGTTCCGGACTTGGTACACTGGTACCGCTTGACGTATGATAGCAGATTGAATGGTCTTTGGCTTGGGTGACGTCAGAGGTCAGCATGTGGGAGAAGTCCCCACTCAGGCATGATAGACAAGTTTCCCACTAGTAATTACGAGTTGGAGGGGCGTTCAAGTGGATTCTTCCCAGTCGTTTGTGGTAAATACCTTCCCATTTGGTTAAAAACACAGCATAAGCAACAAATATCAGCATACTAGGTGTAACCGGTTTGAAATGGCTGGCTAGTTAGCAGTGCGCGCTAAGACCTTGAATTAGTTGTTTACCTTGCTCTGCAAGCAATAGGTACCGATGCTTCGAGGTTGACTGTTGTCGATGTGTGCAGAGGGTCCCTGGTTCAAGCCCAAGTTGGGGCGAGGAGGGGGACCAAAGCAAGACAGTTATATAGGCTTATCCTACTTAGAATGCGTCATCTAATGTGCAATTACGTTGATTCCCGCCATTCGTTCAGTTTGGTACAGCGTTTTGTCAAACACAAGTCGGTCTTGAAAGACGATTCTCATCCTCAATAGTGTGCAGCGAATTCTACTAAATGAAAAGCCGAAAAGAGTTTGACATCCTGACATTTAAAGCATACTACATTTGTGAAATTTCACATACTATATAACAATATTTTTTGCATACCCAAAATGCCTACTATTTAGGACGCAAGTGGGCTATTTAGACCCAACCATTGACTATCTGTGTAGGATGATTGATTTAATCTGTGGTTATGTGACCATAGCATCATCATTGTCCTCATACCAAACTGTATTTTGCTTGTGCTTGTTCATTGAGATCATGTTGGCCCTACACGTAGCCCCCCCATATTACAACCTATGTGTTGTGATAATTGCATTGTTTGCTCTATAACCAATAAGAAGAAAAACTGGCCTTCAATGCTATGGGTGGCAACAATGTCATACTCGTTTGGACCAAACAGCAGCAGATAGATGGCCTACACGTAGAGAGACAGAGGGGCGCTGTTTCACTCGCTCGCTATCCTGTGAGATACATTCAGCCTCTTGATAATTGAAGGAAAATTATGAAACAGAGACGAAAAATTAATTTTTGTATTTATTTATTTTAATTTTATTGGTACATTTTTTATGGATTCCTGGCCTCCCTTGGCATCCATGAATACACGCCACTGGTTATATAGCAGTGAGGGGTTGTTTCTCCTTGTAGATGACTAGTACAGTAGGTTGGTGTGTGATTAATGAAGGCTTTATCGGCCTGCCACTTTTAAAAAACCCAACTGTAAAAGGAATTATCTGATAGGAATCGAGTTGAACGCCAATCCGGATAATTGTTTCCATCCCAAGGAGTTGAGGAGATAAGGATGTTTTTGTAGCATGAGTGTTTTCAACCCCACACAGTTACTGTGAGCATTATGCGGTCCAGGGCTTATTCCCCTAGAGTGAGAGACAGACTACATCCAAATGTATTTCTCTACAGCCAAAATTCTCTCTCACCCTCTCACTCTCCCTCCACTCTCACTCTCACTCTTACTGTCTGTCTATCTGTCTGTCTGTCTGTCTGTCTGTCTGTCTGTCTGTCTGTCTGTCTGTCTGCCTCTCTTTTTTCTGTCTCTAACTATGTCTGTCTCTCTCACTCACTCACTCGCTGACTCACTCTCTTTCTTTCTCTGTCTCTGTCTCTCTCTCTCTGTGCCCACTCTTTCACACATTCATAAAAGTGAGAAGGATCATGGAAACCTTGTCATTTATTTCAGTTGTACAGTCATATGTTTAGTGAAAGGTTTGCAGAGGTACCAATTGTCATAATTTATAATGACTTAGTTCATACCAATATTTAATGAATGTTCTTTTTGGGAATAACATCACACTCATTCACTGCTTCACTGCTGTATAAAAATAAACAATAAACACATTTTTGTACAGGTATGACATTCTATAGCATCAACAATGACACACAATAAATAAGTTATGAGAAAATACGCTGCACAAGATGCAAGGAAGTGTTAGTAAATCTTATGGGTCAATGCAATATCTGCAATTAGTGACTCATGGCAGAGATGCAGATTGTTCTGCTGTGTGTACGAAGCACCATGAGGACGTCATTTGGCTGTGGGTCAGTACACCTGATAGTTGTGCTGGTAAATTTAGTGTGGCTGATGCTCCAAATCGTCTTAGGTGTTCATGGATTGATTGGCAGTCATTGCCTTACATTCATAATTGACAGTTTAGTGCAAACGATATCTTTAGTTACATATCACTATTTCTAAAATAATATGTTAATGGCCTTGATCAGAACACTTATATTTCAGTTGCAGTTTTTAACTAGGTTGATTTGGCAGTGAAGAGGTTGACGACATGAAAACTGAATAGAAAACCTGTTGCTACACTATGGACATTACTGGACAGTAAAGACATATGGCATGATATTCCTGTATTAAGTTGACAAGTTTTGCATTTACAGATAAAGTGGGGATATAATAAATAAATACATAATTTAGCATTAGATAATGTACAAAATGTATTCTGATTGCCCACTTTTGACCATATATAACACACAGTGTATTACTGTTTCACATCCTAAGAGCTACTGAAATCCTTTCTGGTTGTCAAGGAAGAGTCTATCCTATTGTACACAGTATGCTGTGAGCGTGTTGGTGGTAGCGGATGACAAGTCAGTTCATGATGATGATTTATTGAATGCTGTGTTGCAGTGAACAGTGAGCTATCCTCACAGTCCCAGGCCTACCAACATGTGGCAGGGTGGTGTGTTAACACAGTTAGTCTTCAGGTCTTGTGATCAGGACCTTTAAACTGGTGCTGCTCCCAAAGTCCAGACCAGCCAACCCAAACTACCCAGTCCAGTTCTCCTTCTCAGGGTTTTGACAGCAGCCAATCTTCCTTGCCCATATTCACCAGGACCAGCACGTCTGCCATCTCCTTTGGTTTTCCTTTGTGCAGTCTCATCTCAGCCATTCCAATCTCTGCTCAGTCAGTTGTGAAAGTCACTGTTGCAGTCAATTTATTGAGATTCAATTCCAAATATTTCACCTGTCCAATTCCTGTAATGTGAAACTGAGTTAACATGGAGAAATTCGTTTTTGAGCTTACTGTATTGAGTCATATTCCTGTCATACTTCATATTCTCTGACACTGTCATATTCCAGACTTTGTTAAAGCCTATGAGTATTAAGAATGTCATTTTGGTTTGCAAGATAATTACCTTTGAGGAATGTTGATGCCCTATTAGCCAAAATATACTAAGCACATTTTACTGTAATGGTTATAATAAAGAGAAATTCAGAGCCAGCAGAAAGTGGTTATTGTAAGCAATGGTGAAATATCGACTCTACCTCCAAAAACACATTACAAAATAAATTGAATTTCAAAGATTCGTGTGAATATGACTGATCTATACTTATCCCCTAAAATAATAAAATGTGTTTTGTTTTCCCAGCCTTGGAGAAGATGAAGAGATCTTTGCATTGAGACTGTATATTCAAGACATCACTTCTTTGGAAAATATTATTTTTACAAAATGATGGAATGGAATTCAAAGCATTGAGATCCAACCCTAAAATTGATCCAACCATCTTATTTGATCGTGTCACTTGTCATTTACATTTACTTTGCCAGATCAGACTTGTTGTTCATCCCATCCTCCCATTCAATCCCAAGCACATGTTCCTTTACTGTTAAAGCATCCAGACATGAAGGCCAACTAACTGTCTCATCAGGAGATTATGTGTTTGTTTGACTTGGCAAATGCCCTTTGTGAGAGGTTACTCTGACATGGTGGGAGGAGGTTGAAATGTGTAGCCTACATAAATGTATTGAACATTGTGGGATTTGCGTTCACTTCATACTGGGAAAAAATAGCAGTTCGTTTTACTGCTTATTTGATTTTGAGCTTTTGAACATATCTCTCCTGATTGATTAATGCCCATCCTATCCCCATCAATCACTTCATGGTAGTGTGTACTCTAGGTTTCTCTTTCCCCCAAACATACCCAACTAATCCTTTTTTCAAAATGCCAGAGATTCTGATCCTATCAATCTTACAGTACATGTCTACACAGGAAAATATAAACAATGCCCACCATTGCTTTGCTGGAGAAATCTACAGAAAAATGAAAACAATTTATGAAATACGACTCAAGTACCCTTAGCCCTTATAAAGCAAGTACTGTACTTTCACTTGGTCCTCTGAGGGAAATAATTGCCTGTGTAGTTGAAAGCCTAGTTCAAATTTGGCTTTCGCTTCATCCCAAAGTTTCAGGCAGAGACATCCATCATTTGAGTTAAGTGTATTTTCTTTTACAGTACCCGTCAACAGGTGAAGGTGGTCAGCAATTGAGGTCTTGCCCCTGGCAGGTTTGGGGCAAAGGGTTTATTTTGTAATCCTGTCCACTACAGTGGAAGTGCCAAATATGTTGATTTCTATGATTGATGGTGCTAAAATATTTCAATCAAGTTGTTTGCAGTTTCTTAAGAACCACCTGGAGCACATGGTTCCTCACCATTAAGAACCTTCCAACACGTAGATTTTTCTCTCCAGGCCTCCGGGCATTACTATCAACAGTACAGTAAGTTGGAAAGAAACAATCAATGAGATGAAGTTGATTTAAGTTACCTGCCAATTTTTTAAGCTTTATTCAGCTGTAGACAGTGCAGTAAAACGTTGACTTCAACCTCCTCCCACCATTTTCAGACGCATCCCATACTAAACTACTTACTCAACTCCCAAACCACACCATTTAGGCCTACTCTATGATGCTGTAGGATTTAATCAGATACTCAGCTCTCATTGACAATGAGTGTCGAAGAGTGTCATTACAATGTCTCTCTGATCCTGTTCCTCATTTCATGCTCTCTGAGGTAATATCTCTTCCTAATCCAACAAAATACTTATTTAGCATGTGGTGCTCAGTTGGTGGCAGTGCTCACATATTTAAAAGGACTGTCATGGTCAAGTGTACATGAAAAGAGCTCTACTGCAATGGCCTCTCTTAGACCGGCATCAAAACATTTAGTGATTTTAAAAAATGCACAGTACCATAGCTTTACCTCAAAGGATTAAACTCTAAATGGGTAGCTTTGAAATAATGTATATAAGCTTCCATACATGTCTGCCAGTTCAGGTAAATTCCTGGGTATGTCACTGCTGCTGGTATTCATGTTGCAGATGTTAATTGTATAGAATCCTTACCATTTTTTAGATATACAATTCTTGTCACCTGCTGTAATCTGAAAAAGTGACCATTGTGTTAAAGATTGTACAATGTGATTTATTTGTGCCAGAATGAAAAGGCTTGTATTCATCTGTCAACAGATACATTTCTGTTTCATTAGTTTTACCAATATAACTTAATTGCTGAGCATATTTTCTGTGGCCATCCTGCATGCCTATAACTGAAAAGTATGTACAGTGTATTTCATTGATACCATTATGAGAAATAGATGCATAGATGAACTGTAATGACTAGCCTTTCTAAATATTGACTGGACCTTTTACCGTTGATACCGGTGATAAAACTGTTTAACTGACAAATGCTGTTTAACTGACAAATTATGCACAACAGAGTACAATGTTTCTGTTTATTCATATTAAGACAGCGTTGCGTTCCACTCTCCAGGAGAAGGGATTTCGATTTTACACATAGCTGGGTGGCATTACAAACTCAGCATGTAGCTCGATATTTAGGACTCAAGCCAGGACATCACCAATGTCTGTTGAAAATAGTGCTGGTGTCATCTAATGTGTGTATAAATGTTTACTCAGTTATTTGGAGTAATAAGCCAATTGTGGCAAGTGCTCTGAGTCACTCAGTATATTAGGCTGGGCCACAGATGGACATATTTCCACTGCCTCTCCTCTTGGTGGATACTCTCCAAAAGCTATTTCTTGCCTGATGTAGTTGCCATGCCAAACAACTGGAAGCTGAAACAACAACACAAGTTCAGAGGGTGAAAATACAGTGTAATGTGTCTTTCTCTAATCTGTGAAATTCAATTTGCTCTGAACATATCCATTAGAGAGTTGTGTCTGAGTTCAAACTGCCACAACATGTTGGCCTTCATTGCTTGTTGTGACGCCTCGTGAGTGTTATTGCACTAAATCCATTACTGATCTGAATATAGGTGCCGCACAGCAACTTCTTAACCCAGGATTTCTGTGGATTTAATGTGATATCCATGTGATGGGAATTCTAGGAATCTTTCATTTGCTGTATTTTGGGAGGTGAATTTCATAACAATGTCTGACACACTACATGTTTCTGTTGAGGGACATTGTGTTTGGATAAATATGTTTTGAGGCATTTGGCCGTGGACCACTCCAAGGGGTGAGATCATGCCTCAGTCTCAGTTGCTTGGGAGCATTCAGAAAGAGAGTTTAGTCCATCAGCCATCAGATGAGTATTACTGTTCCAGGCATGGCCCACGAAGCTATTCCATGAAAAGCTGCATGACTCTGTCAGTTGGTCATTTAGGCCACAACCTTTTAGTGCCAGGGAAAACACAAAAGTTAGTGCCACTGAGCTAATGATTACAAAGACATTGTAAAACAAACCTATCTTCTATCATGCTTTTATAGAGGCTTGGCCATTATTGATGCTTAATTAATATGATGATCACATGTTATTTTTTGTGATAACGGCTTCTCTCTATTATACAGTAATTTTGTCCCATGGCTGAATTGTCCTGTTCTATCTCAGTCTGGCTGAATTGTTATCAAAACAGGCATGCACTCTTTGCTGAATGGCTCAATTGAAGATAATGAAATAGTGCTCCAGAAATTGAACCTGCAATCTTGATTGTGTTGGCCTTGTATAATCAAACAGTATTAGGGCACATTTAAAATTAGAAATATCTTTAGTTTAATTTCTATTAATTTCAGGCCTAAACCTTTTCTCACATCTAAATCAAAGCAAATCCTGGCATTTTGCTTCGAAGAATGGAAAACTCTGTTGCTTTTTAATCTTTATGTTAGGTGAGGTGTTGACTGAAAATCTATCTATCTTGATTTTTCTCTGAAAAAAATACCCCACTGCCATTCTTAAAGATAATATTGACACAGAACAAGTTGTGTTGTTCTATTAGTGTTTTCCCTCGCATTACAGTCTTATCACCTTTCCCCTGACCCATACCGAGCAGACCACTGCAGAGCAGACCACTGCTTATGAAAGAGAATGAGTGTGTGATAACTATTACAAGATGCTGTAGTGATGCCGCATCAAAAGGACTAATGCAGTAAGCAGCTGTTCCTCTTTAGACAGAATTACTGTTTGATATGAGAAATTCTGAGGACATTAACTAATTTGATTACTTTGCTGCTATGTATGCTAGTAAAAAAGACTGTACTGTACAGAATGAACAAATTACACAGGGTTTAATTAAAGATGTCACATTCCATGTATTTCTTAATGAACGATAGCTTTGATATTTATGATATGTATGTGATATGTATAATTTATCAAATACACTACATGACCAAAAGTATGTGGACACCTGCTCGTCGAACATCTCATTCCAAAATCATGGGCATTAATATGGAGTTGGTCCCCCCTAAGCTGCTATAACAGCCACCACTCTTCTGGGAAGGCTTTCCACTAGATGTTGGAACATTGCTGCGGGGACTTGCTTCCATTCAGCCACAAGAGCATTAGTGAGGTTGGGCACTGATGTTTGGCGATTAGGCCTGGCTTGCAGTCGGCGTTCCATTTCATCCCAAAGATGTTCGATGGGGTTGAGGTCAGGGCTCTGTGCAGGCCAGTCAAGTTGTTCCACACCGATCTCGACAAACCATTTCTGTATGGACCTCGTTTTGTGCTGAAACAGGAAAGGGCCTTCCCCAAACTGTTGCCACAAAGTTGGAAGCACAGAATCGTCTAGAATGTAATTGTATGCTGTAGCATTAAGATTTCCCTTTACTGGAACTAAGGGGTGTAGCCTGAACCATGAAAAGCAGCCCCAGACCATTATTCCTCCTGCACCAAACTTTACAGATGGCACTATGCATTCGGGCAGGTAGCGTTATCCTGGTATCCGCCAAACCTAGATTCTTCCGTCGGACTGCCAGATGGTGAAGTATGATTCATCACTCCAGAGAACGCGTTTCCACTGCTCCAGAGTCCAATGGTGGTGAGCTTTACACCACTCCAGCCGACGCTTGGCATTGCGCATGGTGATCTTAGGCTTGTGTGCGGCTGCTCGGCCATTGAAACCTATTTCATGAATCTCCCAACTAACAATTGTGCTGACGTTGCTTCCAGAGGTAGTTTGGAACTCAGTAGGGAGTGTTGCAACTGAGGACAGACAATTTTTACGCTCTACGCGCTTCAGCCATCAGCGGTCCCGTTCTGTGAGCTTGTGTGGCCTACCACTTCATGGCTGAGCTGTTGTTGCTTCTAGACTTTTCCATTTCACAATAACAGCACTTACAGTTGAACAGGGCAGCTCTAGCAGGGCAGAAATTTGACGAACTGACTTGTTGGAAAGGTGTCATCCTATGACGGTGCCACGTTGAAAGTCACTGAGCTCTTCAGTAAGGCCATTCTACTGCCAATGTTTGTCTGTGTAGATTGCTGGCTGTGTGCTCGATTTTATACACCTGTCAACAACGGGTGTGGCTGAAATAGGCGATTCCACTAATTTGAAGGGGTGTCCACATACTTTGCCCCATTGATTGCATCTGTTAAAGAGCTCAGAGATTGCAACATTTAGGAACAAATGTGACAATTCAAATTAACTGTTTATATAAATAAATATATATATATATTACTGTCACTGGCCTATTCATATTACTAGACAATTGTCAGCTATAGAGCTTTTCAAGTAATCTTTAGATCCAGTATTTGCATGTGTGAGAAGAATGTGCACTCATAATGAGTCCTAACTGCCCCTGAACCCCACTGAACAAGATCAAAATAGATAACACAGCCCACTACCCTTCAACCGTAAACTGATGCAGTGAGAAGTCAGAAGTGAGTGAAGGCACTTGTTATGGATGAACTTGTTAGAGGGAATTGGTAGTCATTAAAAAGGTAACCTGATCCCTGCATCTGTATAGTATAAGTGAATCTCTGCTAATTGGATTGGTTTGGTAAGACACATGTTTAGCAGTCCAACTGTAACCAAACCATGCTCTGGTGTGTGCTCCCAATGACTATTTGTCTTGTAAACAGCCTCTCCCGGTGAGCGGAAGTCTTGTGGCTCAGTGATAAAGGTTTATCAGCTGCGGGGGGTGTTGGACAGGCTGCAGAGGGGCCCTAGCAGAGGCATAAACACCACTCAACTCACTCTATTGGGAAGCTCCTCTATAACGGCTAAACGTTCATCAGCTCATGTTGCTCTACATCAGACATTCACACTTTTGGAGACTTTTAATTGGGTTTAGTTTTGACTTACAGTACTTTACTATTATGCATATTTGTATTATACCATCCTTTTTGTCATAAGAAAAAGCTATATTAATTTAAAGATGTATGTTTTCTTACCATTTTCTTAACCTTTAGCTTCTAAATGGATAATCAATTGGTATTGAAGGTTCGAAGATACAGCAAGAGGTTGTGTTTAAGGGTATAGTAGAGTAAACAGTTACAGAAGCACTAAATTACTGATCGGGATTTGAAATGATTTGTTTTTAAGAGAACCCTTAGAAATCTGTTAGTAATTTGTATAATGTGCCACATTCAAAGATAGATTACAGGTAACATAATACGGTAGCAGCAACTATAAGTTCATCTACAGTCTTGAAATGAATTTCTTTGATATGGATCTACACAATGAACATTTGCATATTACATTTCACATTACGTTATAATGTTGTAATATTCCTACATCAGCTAATCTTTCAGTATGTAAGCATTGAGTGCATTCATTGTTAGGCCTACATTGTTCCAGCACCTAAATGGCATATTATATTATATTATTATGTATATATATTGAACATATTGAATTTGCATGCCCAGTGAGCTCTACGAAACCTGTAAGTGAAGTATTCAAAGAGATTGTTTGATTTACCAAAGGTATCCCCTCTCCCAAAGGAATACCGCTAAAACTACAGATACGATCCTAAACATGCCCTCTGAATTGCAGGAGTACACTCACTCCCTTCCTGATGTCTTAGCATTGTTTCATTCATATTTTCCATTCAGAGATGTATTGAATGGTTGACACATGACACACACACACACACACACACACATACATTGCTTAATCAACCTATGGTAATGTATTGCAACATTATGAAGGGAAAAGATCAGATATCAGTAGGCCTACATTTGGAAAGAGAATTAGGAGTAAACATTTATAGCATCTACGGAATGTCTATTCTGGTACTTCTGTTGATTTCATTCTGTTGCCCATCCTATTTGGTCTGTCCTTATTTTACAAGCAAAACTTTTTTAAGTTCAGTGCTTGCTTTGGTTTACAGTATGCTTGCATCTTTTGTCATAAAACTGTCATCTTTCAATTTCTCTGTAACACTATGTCAGTTCACTTTTTTAATTCACTTTGATACTGGAGGGTTGAGAATTAGATTAGTTGCCTTGCATGACAACAAAAAGCTTGTATAGACATGGACCATGGCATCTTCTCAAGATAATCTATCACTACCAAATCGAATAGTGTAAATGCTAATAAGTGCAAATGTGAGTTATCTGTGCAATTTAAACATAATTATCCAACACTGCCAAAAAAAAAAAGTTTTTTTTAGAATGCGTTGTTTAAAGTATTTATCGTGGAATGAGAAAATGTAGTGTGCAAGATTTTAGATGATAACTATAGGAAACTTACAATTCATTTTCTGGTTTGGAGAATTCACTGAACTGTGTGTTTCCGTTGGAGTGTGGGGGTCCTGGGGAAGGCTCCTCACTCTTGTCGCTGCTCTGACTGCTGGCCAGGCTCTCGTCCCCCTCAGGCATGGCAGCAGCAGGGGGCTTCTGGAAAGAGCCGGCCGCCCCTGCCTCAAGCGAACCCAGGAAGCAGGGGCATCGTGTCCGCATCTCCTTGTAGAAGGTGTTTAATCGTGGGGTGGAAAACCAGGGGCAGCCCAGCAGGTTCTTGAAAGCAGTGCGGAACTCAGGGCTCCTGCAGTAGATGATGGGGTTGAGGCCAGAGTTGATGTAGCCCAGCCAGTTGAGCAGGCGGAAGATCTCTCCTGGGGGCACATTCCTGTCAAACACGTTAATGATGTTAGCCACAAAGAAAGGCAGCCAGCAGAGGGTGAAGGTGCCCATGATAATGCCCAAGGTCTTGAGGGCCTTGTGCTCCTTGACAACCGTTAGCCGTGAGGGCCTTCGCCTTGAGCTCCTCTTGCGAGCTGAGCTGGTGCAGCTGCTGCTGCCGCCATAGCCCAAGGGCAAAATGTTGCAACTGTGGTGGCTCAGCTGTGTCGGCGGCGGCGCTGGGCACTCACTCTGGAAGCGGAGCCGGGTCTTGTCTATGAGCTGTACCTGTCGTGTGGCTATGAGGAAGACTTTGGCATAGACAAATATCATTATGAGCAAAGGGATGTAGAATGACACTACAGAAGATATAATGGCAAAAGTTCTGTTGGTCACAAAGTCACAGCAGGCAGGGTCCTGATAGCATACCAATGCCTCCAGGTCATCTTCTGCCCGCCAAAGCTGGTTCATGATGGGCACAAAAGAGATCAGAGCAGACACAATCCACACCACACACACTATTAGTCGGGCGCGCCACTTATTGAGCAGAACCTTGTGCCTGAGGGGCCTTGTAATGGCAATATAGCGGTCCACTGCAATCACGCAAAGAGTCTCGATGCTGGCGGTGACACAGAGCACATCTACGGAGGTCCAGAGCTCGCAGGAGGTATCACTCAGCTGCCAGTTCCCCGTCACCACGATGGTGGCCCCCAGAGGGACCACCAGGACCCCCATGATGAGGTCAGCACAGGCCAGGGACATGATGAAGATGTTAGTCATAGTCTGTAACTGGGATGTGCGTGCTATAGCTATGATGACCAGCAGGTTGCCCACCACGATGATCATGATGATGATCACCGTCAATAGTAAACTCCAGGGTCCCGCTGCAGGATGGTAGGGTCCTGTATTGTTGAGAAAGGGGGTCACAGTGCTGTTGACCGTGTAGAACACTATGCTACTCAAGTTAAAATCCATCTTCATAAGCAAAGACATACACAAAGGTTAAATCGATTTTTCATGTATTAAGAGTAAAAAACGTCATTTCGTAATAGCATTTTAAAGTCAAATGAATAACAATTTGGTCTCTCTATGTCACACCCTCTCGTTTTTGTTCATTCCAAGCAAACGTAAATCTCCCGCTGACATGTTTCACAGCTTTCATGTATCACTGGTAAGTGTCCAGATCCTCCAAACACCATGAGTGGTTCATGTATGTCTGTCTCCTATGTCTCCAAAGACCAAAAAAGGCTGGTGAGAAGTTCCTCTGATGTCGGTGACAGCATGTTGTCTTGTCATTGCAATGCATCCAAAAAACTTAACAATCCTTTTTTGCTTATGTTGTCTTGGTTTTATAGATCCCTGGAGAGGATAGTGAAAAAAACGACAAATTCAAGAAGTTAAGAAAAACTTTTTTTAAAGGAGGCAAACCCATATTCCTCTGAAATAAGTCCAATCATACATACTGTAATGTTTGTCTGGAGCGCTTTTCGCTGTGTGTTATATGAGAGCGATGCAACACTGTCAGAGAGCTAGCAGCTGTGACGCTGCTGCAAGAACCACAAGAGTGCACCAAGTGGGAGCTAGCGACTCTAGTATCTAGCTCATCTCTCTATATCTCTCTCTATCCTCTCATCTCTCACCTCTCGCGACTCATTCTCTCTATTCACTACATGCTCTCCTCTTCTCTCTCTATCTATCTTCTATCTCTCTCTTCTCTCTCTCTATCTCTCTCCTCTCTACCTACCCATGCCTCTACTATGCTCGCTTCTCTCTCTCTACTATCTAATCTCTCTCTCGCTCTCTCTCTCTCCTACCCTGCCCCCTCCTCTCTCTCTCTCTCTCTCTCTCTCTCTCTCTCGTCTCTTCTCTCTCTCTCTCTCCAATCTCTCTCTCTCTCTCTCTCAGGCCTGTAACTCAGAGTGCAGGTCACCCTCACACCCTTGCTGTGGGAGGGGAGGAGCTGTGAAGTGTGCCAGCCTGTATGTACTGAGACTGCTAGTCGGGGGGTTGGGGGCACTCTGCTCAGCACCCTGCTCACTACCACACACACTCAGTAGAATTCGAATTAAACCAGTCACGGGCCACTCATGCGAGACAAAACCCTCAACACTCAAAGATACTCCTACCACCCCCACCTGACTTGCCTAGTTAAATAAAGGTAAAATAAAAAATAAATACAACTTTGTTGCCATCCACTGATAATGCCCACGACTTGACAGACTTGTTCACTGCTGGCCCCATAGAGATAGACATCTCCCTTTTCATTCTGTGGCCTTCAAATTATTTAACCGATGAATCACTGATACTTTCATGCTGTACATACTTTTTGAGTTGTTCCATATACTGTTACAGATGGTATTGGAATTGCACATAAAACATACAAAAGCATTTATATTGTTTGTCACCCTTTGTCACACATCATTGTTTCACACTTCTTCACATATACAATCACTTCTCAGCCCTGAGGAAAGTTGACAGGTTTCTTGACTGGGCAAGTGCGTTAAGTTGTTTGTTTACACGCTCTAACACAATTTGTGGTCAAGTCTCTTTAACAAGTGTAGACCGCAAGTCAAGACACCCCCAGCTGCAAAGGAAACCAGTGTCCTCCCTCTAGTACACCAGCACTAAAAATAATTGATTGTTATCGTGACACAACTCACGCCAGCTAGTACATTGAAGAATGGCATGCCATCCGCCATGCTATTTGTCATCGTAGTTCCTTCTATGGCCAGTTCTCTAATAACAGTTTCCGAATGCCTTTTACTGACTCAGTGTGTATCTTTCATAATGACAATGTAATTGCCGTTTCTCTGATTCATTGTGGTGAGGACAGTACAGCCACTTGCCTTTTTGTGTTCCAAAACAAAACAATGTTCACATAATCCATTGCCAATTAGGAAATTGTTTCTAGGAAATGACAACCGGCATCTGTTTAGTATTTATCTTGGATAAACATTTAGATTTATGTTTGAATTAAGATCGTATTCAAATGGTTAGAAGAATACAAACAGAACATGAGGGACACCTCTTCCATAATGGTAATTAATGATGAAAAGAAACATCTGATATTTACTTATGGCTTCCATGGATCATGATCTTCATTGATGCAGCAGTTTAGTTTAGGTACCTTGGTCAAGGACATGCCTGTAGGATCAATCCATTGCTGAAGCAGTAACTGCTTTACTGGCTGCAGGAAGAATAGGTGGATTTAATAGAATATACAGTGCATTCAGAAAGTATTCAGACCCCTTGACTTTTTCCTCATTTTGTTATGTTACAGCCTTATTCTAAAATCGATGAAATCGTATTTTCCCCCTCATCAATTTACACACAATACCCCATAATGACAAAGCAAAAACAGGTGTTTAGATTTTTTTAGCAAATGTATTAAAAATACAAAACTGAAATATCACATTTACATAAGTATTCAGACCCTTTACTCAGTACTTTGTTGAAGCACCTTTGGCAGCGATTACAGCCTCAAGTCTTCTTGGGTATGAAGCTACAAGCTTGGCACACCTGTAATTCGGGAGTTTCTCCCATTCTTCTCTGCAGATCGTCTCAAGCTCTGTCAGGTTGGATGGGGAGCGTCGCTGCACAGCTATTTTCAGAGATGTTAGATTGGGTTCAAGTCCGGGCTCTGGCTGGACCACTCAAGGACATTCAGAAACTTGTCCCGAAGCCACTCCTGCGTTGTCTTGGCTGTGTGCTTAGGGTCATTGTCCTGTTGGAAGGTGAACCTTCGCCCCAGTCTGTGTTCCTGAGCGCTCTGGAGCAGGTCCTCTCTGTACTTTGCTCCGTTCATCTTTCCCTCGATCCTGACTAGTCTCCCAGTCCCTGCCGCTGAAAAACATCCCCCCAGCATGATGCTGCCACCACCATGCTTCACCGTAGGGATGGTGCCAGGTTTCCTCCAGACGTGAAGCTTGGCATTCAGGATGAAGAGTTCAATCTTGGTTTCATCAGACCAGAGAATCTTGTTTCTCATGGTCTGAGAGTCCTTTAGGTGCCTTTTGGCAAACTCCAAGCTGGCTGTCATGTGCCTTTTACTGAGGAGTGGCTTCCGTCTGGCCACTTTATCGAAATGTTTTGGTACCCTTCCCCAGATCTGTGCCTCAACACAATCCTGTCTCAGAGCTCTACGGACAATTCCTTTGACCTCATGGCTTGGTTTCTGCTCTGACATGCACTGTCAACTGTGGGACATTATATAGACAGGTGTGTGCCTTTCCAAATAATGTCCAATCAATTGAATTTACAACAGGTGGACTCCAATCAAGTTGTAGAAACATCCGTGGTCAGTGGCGTGTACAGCGAGTGACATGTCATATTATTTTTGGCCAAACAGCATCAGATACATGGGCTTCAGACACTAAGACAGAGGGGTGCTGTTTGCCTTGCTCGGATGCTTTCTATGGTGAAATAGATTCATCCTCTTGCGAATTGAAGGAAAATTATAAAACACGGATAGACACGAATGAGAAATAGTTTATTTATTTATTGTTAACATTTTTGGAGAAGCCTGGCTTCTCTTGGCATCCATGAAAACATGGCACTTATGGTGTTTGAAATAGATGTCCCTTTCTATTTGAATGGCGGGTGTAGAGTGTACTGTTCGGATGCTGGACTTATTTTAGAATAGACGAACGTGTGCAGGTAACCTGGTTAACCTACTGTTTGAAGGGATTTGTTTGACAATCAGATGAAAACATGACTGGTTGTGTTCATGACCAGTGGTGTAAAGTGCTTAAGTAAAAAATACTTGAAAGTACTACTTAAGTAGTTTTTTGGGGTATCTGAACTGTACTTTACTATTTTTATTTTTTGACTACTTTTTTATTTTACTCCAATACATTCCTAAAGAAAATTATGTACTTTTTACTCCATACATTTTCCCTGACACCCAAAAGTACTCGTTACATTTAGAATGCTTAGCAGGACAGGAAAATGTTCTAATTCACATACTTATCAAGAGAACATTCCTGGTCATCCCTACTGCCTCTGATCTGGCAGACTCACTAAACACATGCTTTGTTTGTAAATTATGTCTGAGTGTTGGAGCGTGCCCCTGGCTATCCGAAAATGAAAAAAACAAGAAAATGGTACCGTATGGTTTGCTTAATATAAGGAATTTGAAATTATTTATACCTTTACTTTTACTTTTGATACTTAAGTTTCAGCTACGACAGAGCCTGGATTCAAACCAGGATCTCTAGTGGCACAGCTAGCACTGCGATGCAGTACCTTAGACCACTGCGCCACTCGGGAGAAATTTACCAAACCTAAGCTGAAGCATTTAATGTTTTGAATCATCATAATTATATTGAAAGAATCCACCTTGCATCGATTATGGTTCAAAATGTTATTGCCCCCCTAAACTGAGTCTGTGCCCCACCTTGGCCACCCCATTTAAAATGTTCTGGACGCGCCACTGATTACAGTATGTTTAGTAAGTTGTCTTTATTAATCATAGTTTAAGAAGGGAAAAAAAGTTAATTAAATATGTACTCAGTGTTCTTGTGGCATAGTGGAAGTCTGGCTGTCTGCATCCGTACTCATTTGTTACCTGGGCAATAAATGCTCTCTCTAAGGTAAATGTTCCATTAGACAGAAACTAATAGGTACCTTTTAGATGCTTAATTGAATTGCATTTAAAGCATGTACTTCTCTCTGTCATCATGATGCATTACCACTAACTCTCGGTGTCCTCTCCAGAGTGAGTCCCTCCCTCTTCCCCTGTATCCTCTTACTGTATGTCATTCTTTGTTCAAGGCTCTGTGGTGCCGTACGGCTCAGAGAGGAAGCAGGGTAGTGGGGAGGGCAGAGGGGAAAGGTAAGAGGGGACAGAGCACTGAACACTGTGCTTAACCGGGGTGGTGGCAGAGAGGCCCGGTTGGCCGGTTTTGAATGCATCAGGGGAGAGACTGTGTGAACGAGATGATAGCTTGACAGCCGCTCATTTGTCTTTCCGTGAGAAGATGCCATGGATGAATCCGGAACTAGTGCTAGTCCAGCGGCTGGGCATGGTGACTGGCACAGTCTGAGGTGTTGATGGAGGAATGGGCCTGATAGGAGTACAGCTTTTTTACCCTTCCACACTGGACAGACTGTTGACATAATTTCTGGAGACTGTATTCCCCTATCATGGCTGTGATTTATTTCACACAAATGCTTGGGAAACTTGTGGCATGTGCCTAAGCCAAAGATAAATAGCCATTGATGGGTAACTGCACATGGTCTCCTAAATTTAGCAGTTTACTTCAATGGATCTATTTCATTGTGTTGACCTTCCCCCTCTTTGCAGTGAACGTTTTTAAATTGGGTAATTCTAGATCCATTATTCTGAACCAACCAACTAGTAACAACTGTTCAACTGCTCTCGCTGACACAGGTGCATATCTGTTCAAGGTCTTTCTTCACTTTTACTGTACTCTTGCCCATGACAAACAAACTCTGCATCCTTGGAGAGGTTTAAGAGCAGCAACTCAATTCTTCATAGGAGGGAAACCCAGTTTGCAAAATGCAGAGGTTCTACAGTAGCTGCTCAATGCAGTGTCAGCCAGTAAATCATGGGAGC